AATTTTCTTATTCAGATATAATATGCAATTAAATGTTGTTACCCTCACGATAACTTCCTTCTGAAGCTACACAGCGCTGAAGACGGTTCTTCCAATCCTCATAGTAGCGCTGAAACTGATTTCGACTGTCCCAAAATGAGTTCCCTCGAGGTGATTTTCCATATTCGGGAAGAGAGAAAAGTCACAGTGACTCAAGTCAGACGAGGAGCCTCGTGAGTATTTTTACTGGCCAAAAACTAGTTTATTGACACTGTTGTGCGACAAGGAGCATTCTATCGATATTTTCATCGATTCTTGAAGATGAAGGCCTTCCGCTTCAATCGTCTCTCCCTTCTAAAAATACCTGACACCACCGAAAAACCTGGGCTCTTGACAAAACACTATCTTCTTATACCTGTTTAGCAACAGTTCCCTGTTGCAGTGTACCCAAGTTTGAAGCAAAACCTAATAGCATGCTGTTGCTTGAAATTGATGTAATTCATTTAGAACAGAATAGGAAAGACTGTTTCGCAAAAAAACAACCAAATGACTCGAGCGAGTTCAAACTTGTACTGAAGGCGGATCGTATGTTCCCCTGTCTCCCCGCCAAGCTTGACGCCTCCAATGTTGCCAGACCTCCTGAGATCTGTACTTCTACAGACCATTAAGTACGTCTTACATCGAAATGTCAACCAAAACCTTCATTCATAACCAGTTGACCGAAACACCATAAAAACAATGAAATTTATAAAGCAACGGTTATCAATCAATTCTTTTCTCATTTTGACAAGGTATTTCGCGGTTCAGTTTAGCTAAGCACGCCAACGATTTCTTTGTCAGTGCGGTTAGGAAGCACTCAGACGAAGACATATTTTCTCCTGCATGTAAACAAGTCGTTTTAGACTATGCACATTATAGAATAGACTTCATACGGATCTAGTTCTGGAAGTTCTACTGTTTTTTTATGAGGTCCGATGGATAAAACTAGAGCAATCTAGGAAACTTTTACACCTTCCAGTTTATTTCTGTGAGATTCACATTCGGTTAATTTTTAGAGCTGCAAACTCTGGAATTGCTTATCAACGGGCTTGCGGAAATTTATGTTCGACTTAATCACTTGATCATACCCTCAAAGAAACCAGTGGCGTGCTTAGTTAAAATTCTGAGTACCTGATCAAAATTTGATACCACCGCCGCTGGGATAATTCAACCAGATATAATCAGTACAAATTAAGAATTTAAATGACTACCCTGTGGAAGGTATCAAAAATGAAACATCACATACAGGACCGCATTTCGAGGAGAGTATTTCTTCTATGTAGCAGTTTTTCCTCTAGGGCTACATTAAAAAGATACGGGGTGTTGAAGCCTAAGAATAAATAATTTATTATCTTGTGGGGCGCTTTTAAACAACTAGTGTATGCTAAACAAATTAATACTGGTGATCAGTTACACGAAAGAATAGATAATGCGTTTCAGCAAATTCAAGCCACAACAGATTTTGCGGAAATACGTTTTTCTCTATTAAAAAGTTGCCGCACTTGCGTGATGTTTCATTTTTGGTCACGACTAGTGAATCACCCTGTACATATGTATGAGCTACTCATGATGTGCAAGCTATAGCTTGCGAAACCTCATTAGCAACATCATTCCTCGTGTACCATAATCTGAAACTGATGTGTCGGAGTGCCAACGATATTACGTGGCGTTCGACAACCAGATAGAGAATCAGAACGGCATAACGAGTACCTGAATGGAGCTGTAAAATTTTACTGCTGCGTATGACACATAAAACACGTGTCAATTTGATGGCGGCAGCTTGGAGGTATCGCTGTTTCATTGAATTTTGACTATGTACAAGGAATGTACAAATGATGGTTCGATACAGTGATATTTTATTGCTTAATCGTGAGTTGCATACCAGTAGAATTAGTCGACAGAAATACTCGTAGCCGAACTCGGAATTACACCACTGCAATGAAATGCTTAAAGGTATCGTTAATCAGATTGTTGAACTGACTAAAATTAGAACTACAGAATCATCCTCAGACAGATTGTTGTTCTCTCGATGTAAATAGTTCGACGTGGTCAAAATGAGAAGCAAAATCCTGGCGAGGAAATTAATGTAATAATTGAAGAATGCAATTTAGCAATAAATATCTAGTTTCTCTGGAATATATCACTGGCTTTTGACATCTGACAAGAGTCTGTTATTCAAATCTGTTCGCTGTGACATCTTTTTCATTATTTAGTTTTTACAATCTTGTTAATAATGGTGAATTATTCAAATACAGAAATGGCGAAAACGCATTACGTATATGGCCTTGCCGACGGTAATGGTGAGCAAGCTAGACGGATTCATCACCCGAGATATCCCGATCGTGCTTTGCCAGATAGTCGAACCTGTTCTAATATTCATCGTCGTCTTGTCGAAACTGGTTCTGTCCGAAAAGGAACATCTTAAGGTAGACGTCTAAGTGTGAGAACACTTGAAATTGAGGAAGCAGTGCTACCCGAAGTAGAAGAACATCCTGAAACGAGTACGAGGAAGATCCTTAGACACTTAAATATTTGCCATCAAATTGTTTGGAGAATTTTAGTGGACTGTTTGTTATATCCTTACCATATTTTAAGACTACAGGCATTACTTCCTATTGATATTCCAAGGCGTGTGACCTTTGTTCAATGGTATCTTCAAAAAATTACGCGAAATCCGCAATTTGAATCAATGATTCTGTTCACGGACGAATCTAATTTCTCTCGAAATGCCATTCACAATTGCACAATAATCATTTGTGGGCATAAGAAAATCCCTGTGCCGTAACCGAAACCCATCTCCAACATCAATTTTCGGTTAACGTATGGGCAGGAATTATTGGCCCATTATCCTTGCCGGGACGACTTGACGGACAGACTCAATTTTCTTCAACAAAAGTTGCTTTCGCTGCTTGATGATGTTCCGTTAGTAATAGGAAACAACATGTGGTACATGCATGATGGTGCACCAGCGCATTTCAGTGTAGCTGTTCGTAATCGTTTACAAACTGTTTATCGAAATCGTTGGATTGGCCGCGGTGGGCCCCAAGAATGGCCACCAAGCTCCCCAGACCTCAACAGTTTAGATTTCTTTTTGTGGGGCTATCTTAAGACACTAGTGTACACAAGCCCCAATAACACTGTAGAGGAATTAAGAGAAAGAATAGTTATAGCTTGTGATAGAATAAAAAACACTCCAAAGATATTTAAACGAGTGCGCAATTCCATGAGAAGGAGGGCGGAAGCATGCATACTAAGTGAAGGGGGCCATTAACAACAATTTTTGTAATCGTTTCGTTGGTTTTAATATTATGTTTATGTTGTCAGTTGTTGTTGCTCAATACATCTAATGTGACTAATTTTTTAAAATTAAATTAATAATAATTTTGCAAGTTAGACAATAGAACGGTTTTTATTTTTTTACTCAAAAATGGCGCATCGAAGGAAAACAATTCAAGAGAGATCATTTGTTTTAAATTACAAGGGGAATTCAAAAATAATTTTTATTTGGCAAAAAGCCATTGGCGTATAATTTTTTTCTTAAAAAATATCGAAGTCAATAGCCGTACCGCACCAGACTGTTAAAGTTAAAAATTATTTTTGCCTTCAAAAATATGCAAATTTATCAACTTTCACTACGTACTAAATATCAGTGAAATATCTGTAGCGGTTCTAAAAATATTAATTAATTTCCATTTTATTTCTAAAACTTCAACAGCCTGAGTTTTTGTATGGAAACATTTTTGGACCATAGTTTATAAAGCAAACTAACACTAATTTTTCTTGTAAATTCACACCCTTAAATATTCGCATATCAATAAGGAACACCCTAGATCTCAGATTTCAGCTTGATATGAGAATGAATGAGACTACAGTCGGTAGACTGCGCATAGTGCGAAAGACAAAGATTATAGCTACGAACCGGCTCACGTTTATGACAGATGTCGTAGGGGGGAGGGTCTGGTCGCCCAATTCGGTCTCCAAAAATTATAATTAATTTCCACTAGGCAGCGCTGCTTGTACGTATAACGTGCAGATGCTCGATCTTTACTGTCGGTTTGCCCATTTGTGGTGATATCTATTATCAGTAGCAAAATCATACGCACCAAAGGCAGCCACCTGAACTGCATTCTTTTTCTCACTCCTCAAATAATAATAATAATAATAATAATAATAATAATAATAATAACGTCTTTATTGGATAACCCGGAGGGACATAAACAGCGAAGTTTAGCCAAGGCTACTCTTACACTTAACTGTTTATGTCGGTTACATCTGATGTTCAAAACATGGAAAAAAATATATATAAGAACAATGAAAAAAGAACACATATACACTTAGTATAAAATACAAATAGACACAATCTATATCTGTAGCAGAAATGCGTATTCAATCAATAGCGAGCAACATGCTTTTAGTATGTTTACGAAAACTTTCAAAAGACATCAATTTAATACTGTTGTCCAACAGATTATAAAATAGTGCTGCATTATATGTAAATCCTCATTGGAATAATGCAGAAGTGTGTGGGGTGGTTCTGATACTATAACGATTCCTAACAGCCCTGTCATGCACTTCGTAATTAAATCTTAACTTAGCTCTTAGATATTCAGGCTTTGATGACAATATTATTTTATGAACTAAAACTAAGAATTTATGTTTCACCAAACTTCCTAACCTAAGCCAGTTCAATTCCCTATATTTATCACTTACGTGATCGTATTTACGCAATCCATAAATAAAGCGAACACAGTTATTTTGGATGATTTGAAGACGATTTTTGGTCAATTGATCCAAACATGGATAACAAACGACATCACAGTAACTGACGACATCACCAAAGATTCGCACAGTTTTTTTCTCAGCTTAAAGTTAAGCAAGTAGCGATTGGGATAAAGAGCCCTAGAACACAGGTAAGTTTTTTTCATCAAATTAGCTATTTGGCTGCGGAATCTTAATTTTGTGTCAATTTCCACTCCTAGTACCACAGCTGTTTGAGTATGCTGTAATGTTATGCCATCAATAGTCAGATGGAAAGAATCTTCGACAGTTTTCCTCTTCTGATCAGAACAAAACAATAACACTTGTGTCTTATCTGGATTAATAGTAAGATTATGTTCCATAGAAAACTGATGTACCTTATCTAAATCAAGCTGTAAAATGTCTGATGAATTTTGCGTATCTGAGGCGTAATGACAAATGAATAAACTTTCAGCCAACTCCCGAAAAAGAAAGGGCGAGAGAGAGAGAGAAAGACTGGAGAGTGGTGGAAGCAATTAACTGCTTCATCATAACCGCTCACACAACAATGCTGTTTCGTCGTCGACTCGACAACCCTTAGTCGTGACGAAAAAAATTCCGCTGCTACCCACGACAAGCCTATAAATCAACCTCTATCGCCGTCCTTGCAGATCACTCGGAATCCGACTTTTTCACTAAAGAGATGTGGCCTTGGCCTTATCGAAATGCATTTTTTTGCTTCCCACCCAGTACGTGAAGACGGCATAATGATGGCGTGAAATGGATATATCAGGTTCTGGGTACGATTTATGGCGATAATAGCCTTGCAAACCTCTTGGCATCTAGGATATAACATCAGAAGAGAGAATCAGCTATGGACTTACCGAAGTGAATTCTTTTACTTCCCACACATGGAGTACTATTATGATAAAAAATATATGCGAAATGAATATTAAAACGTTTAATAGATATTCGACGATAATACAGCTTTGCAGGTCGTTTGAATTTTGGGAGACATTGCCAGGAGCGAGATGCGATCTTGGCCTCATCGAAGTACATTTCTTGTACAAATTGTGAGAAATAGGTGTAAGACTGATGGACCGCGAAACAAAAGGGTTAGTGAGTTCCCATCTCCATGTAATTATTTGGAATATTTTCATGACACTGGCACTGGCACTTCTAGGTACTTCTTTTAAAATCACTTCTCTGGTACTATATCTTGAGGGTGGGTCATTTAACATTTGGAATTTGATGGTCTAGCTAACTTGAGATCAAAAGTTTAGATCTCACTTATAACAAATCAGAGAATTTATATTTGGCACTAACTGTTGCGTGGAAATTTTGATATGTATACTAAGTGACATATAAATCCGAACACACAGTTTAAATGGTTTTATTTGAATAAAATTTCGTATAAGTACTTAATGAAGCATAATAAGCAAATGATAAAAATTTCAAAATGATTGCACTGCTTTAAAGCCCTTTGACCTTTAATAATGTGTGGATGCACCCTGATGTGCTACGCATTCTCCAACGCGCCTAGGCATGCTTCTGATCAAGTGGTCAATGTCCTCATGTGGTATCACATTTCAGGCAACCACCAACTTCTCTCGAAGTGCTTCTAGAGTCTGAGGAGGACGTTGCAAATTGAGCAATCTCCTACCCATCATATCCCACACGTGCTCAATTGGGGATAAGTCGGGAGATCTTATTTTACATATATATATTATTATGTTGAAAGAAGTCTATTGTGACTCTTGCAACATGTGGTCGGGCATTATCTTGTTGGAAAGTTGGATCTGCAAGGATGTCAAGATAGGGTAAAAGATGGGGTTCTAGAACTTCGTGGATATAACGCTGCGCGTTAAAGGGAGGACCCAGTGTGGCCGGTATGAAAACAAGCCAAAACTTCTCATTCGTCGGTAAACACTTCGCATGCGAATAGGTCTTCGGTGTTCTGCAAACCATTCATTTGCAATGGACCTGGTAGTGGAGAAACGGTCCCTTAAGGCCAATAATCTTAGGCGACGATCTTTACGGTCCGTTGTTATACGGCGGCGTCCAGTGCCCCTTGCTCTTTGCGTACGGCCTTCTCGAAGCCATGCCTGACAACACCTAACCACAGTGTCTACACTTCTTTGCACTCTAACTGCAATTGCCCGAAAAGAAAGTCCAGCTTCCCGAAGTCCCACTATACGGCCCCTATCAAACTCACTAAGTTGACGAAATCGTACAGGTCTCCGTACTCTAGGCATCGTAACCGATCGTAAAGGATGTCAAGAACCAAAATCCGCCAACGTTGATTCTTTACTGCGGCTGAAATATTCATTTTTAGAGCGTTAGTGAATTAAAAAAAAGCAGTATAAAAACCGGAATGTCCAACTGATAAGGCTGAACATTTTTTCGCTTGTTATTTACAGTAAGATAAATACATTCACCAACTTTTATTAAAATAAAACCATTTAAACTGGGTGTTCGGGTTTATATGTCACTTAGTATATATCAGTGATTACGTCGTTGAACAAGAAATAACTAGTTTTCCACTTAGTCAAATATTTCGTATTAACTGCATTTCCTGAGCATAAAAGCATATAAAATTAGATGCAACTGCTTTTTGGTTTACAACAATCAAAGACGGAATGTGTCATTTATTTTAGGACTTAACAAGAATTGAAGAATGTGAGTTAGTTCTAAAGAGTCTAAGTGCCAAAAACATAGAACCGAGATAATCTGAGTAAGAAGTAAACGATATTTTAACTCTAAATATATTTTTTTAAGGCAAATCAGGTTACTTTAAGTAAGACACTTCAAGATGAAGTTTAAAAGTATTAATTTCGACTTGGAAAAAATTTTTAAAGACAGAAAATCGTAAAAAGATCTAAGTGCCTCATTATGTAAATCTGAGAAGGGTCTGGGTCTATGTGCCTTATTGGGATTTTTTGTAGGTTTTATATCACCCGATATGTTTTGTACTCTAAGCCACTCGCTCTCAGATGTTTTTGTTCCTGTTTCACACTTTCTGAACCTTTTGCTCTTCTTTTTCGTTCCATTTTCAGTTAAAACATGGAAATGACACAACAGAACAACACTGTCACGAAACCCTTTATTAATAAAATGTATGTTGGCATTTACCGGGACCGCCATCTATTCGACAGAAAATAAACACCTAAATGAATCGCTGGCACCTTCTACCTTTGCAATATTATTAGGCATGGCACATAGACCCTTTTCACATGAATAATTGGACATGTATGTTTTTGGCACTTGGACCCTTTAGAACCCACACTCTTCAGTTATGATCCTAAATCATTTCTGTAAATGTAATGTAAAGTCATGTAACTTGGCAGTATTCATTCACTTTTGTTCTGTCGTAATAATATTGTTTATTTATATCGAAAAATTCAAAAAGTTGAACCCGTTTTCTCAGATTTCGATTTTTAAACTTTACTACATTTTACCTTAGTACGGCCGTATACAAAAAACCAACATACTTCGCTCTTCAAATCATATATTCCAAACGCTCTGTATACTAACGAAACACCCATTTTATCGCTTGTGTAAAATGAAATCAAACAATACCTATTTCTGCAGTTTTTTTTTTGCTCACGGAACACCTAGAACGCTCCCACCTATGACATGCGTTTGTTGTGTACTGTAATCGCAGTAGACCGCGCTCGGGTACTTAGAGGTTAGTATTTTCCACAACTGTTTCTGTCACTTTTCTGACCGGTAAAAGTGGAAATTGTTGAGTGTAGTGTTTGGTAACAAATGAAAATAGTGTCGAGTGCCCACATTAAATCGAATAATCTCAGTGACTGACTATTCCATTAACTTTTCGCTGTGCTGGACTCAGTGATTTGGATTGACGCTTGGATTACCGGATTGCAGATGAGTCATTATTATCGGTGATGGCTCGAGTCGGGTTTTATCAAGTTTTTATTACTAGGACAATTTAAAAAACTGTTGAAACATTCTTTGTGCGGCATTAAAAGAAACAATTGAGGTACAGATGATCTCGAAATTTGCAGTTTTTCTAATTCATTGACTTGATAAATGGACCGTTTTATGCATGACTTGACCAAGCGACAAATCTCTGTTTTTCAGGAGGATGAATAAACTTTAACAATTCATTAAAAATCAATGCCACGATTGTGCTGAATGATATTTGTTCTGTGAATAGAAAATGATATTACAAATTTATGTATGCAATCATTGTTTCAAAAACTCTTATACCTGAAACTTGATGAAATGAAATGGCGCTTGGTCAAATATTTCTGCCAAAAAGAATGCTCATTATTCAACACAAAAATGTTACTTGGTCATGCTTTGCAAAATAAGGAGCGCATAACAGATTGATTCATTATTTTTGTATTTTAGTAATTAGCATCGAATACATTGAAAAATTAAAACTACAGAAATTAAAACATTCTTGAAACCAAATAAGAAATTGCTTGAATGGTAAATGTTGTAATAAACTCAATGATATACTAATTCAAAAATAAAATGAAGCAAGGAGTAACCACACATTTTCGAAATGAATCAAGAACCCGAATCGAAAATTTGTATTATTCATCTTCAAGCTCGAAATCTGGTTAAATTAGATTCCTATAGAACTTCTTGGAATCCTTGGGTATAAGACTTAGTAATGATTTTAAATCGTCTAGCTTCTTTTCTGCTATAGGTTTCCCATTTGGCCACAGTTTTTCGAGGGGTTTACTAATATGCTACCACAAAACATCTTAAACGCTATTTTACGTCCATACTTGTAGTTATGTGATTGACATTGCCGTAAGAAGTGTACAGGGGTCCGACAAAAGTGGATAGAGGTACGACAATCTATGCACTTTATGGCTTTAGTGCGGTATGTTTGCTTGTTCAGCTGTACAGTAAAAGTCCAGAAAGAAAAGTAATTATGCTTACAAATAAGCTTTCTACGCGTAGCAGCTGCCTTTTTATTATAGAATTTCCTCCACAGAGACGCGCTAGTGCATTGAGGTTATGTGGGGCTGTGGAGGTCTAAGTTTTAACTGATTAACCCTTAGCGTGTTTATTTTACATTTTACCTTGACAATGATGTCTACTAGGTAACCCAAAACACTGACTGCTTTAAAAACACGAACATATCTATTAAAGAATGAAGATTTACAAATTCCGTAATCATCCGTACCTTAATCGTTTTTTCATACACCACAAAGTATGTTTCAATAACTTTTTTAATTTTTCAAAAGAAATAAAAATTCGATAAAACCTTCCTACTTAGTCCTTAAATGTTGCATAATAAGAGAGTTAATTTACATTATTAAAAATTATAAAAAAACATTACGAAGTTAAATGGATACCTTTTTTACAATACGGTTCAAAATTGTCCCCATTTGTTCGATTAACGCAAAGTCTTGCTCTGCGAATCTACTCGACTCTGTACAAGCTTCACTAATAGAAGCCTGGCGTTCACGAATTAAATCACAAGCATTTTCATTTTCAAATAGCCCTACAGAAAAAAATCGCAAGGCGTTAAATCCGGGGAGCGAGCAGGCCAAGAAATGCGCATTGCGTCCTATCCATCTAATCGGAAACCCATTATTTAGAATATTCAGATATTCATGAACTTCTCGTCTGAAATGTGGTGGAGCCCCATCATGCAGGAACCACATATTCTGTCTCACATTTAGAGGAACATCTTATAATAATTGTAGCAGATTGTGTCGAAGAAAATCTAAATAAACTTCACCGGTCAGTGGAGGTGAGAAAAAGTAGGGTCCAATAAGCATGCCAATTACCACAACAGTCCAAACATCTTTTATATAGGTGATTTTTTGTATATCGCCTTTTGACGAGTTCTACAAGCAGTTAAAATTAATGACTCAACTTTGAAAACGCCTTGCATTATTTTCGATCGTACGAAGACGGTAATTGAGGGAATTTTGTTACAGGTGACCGGTGAACATGTCGATTCAAGTTCATAGATTAAGGGTGAGTCTTACATATTTTAGTTTCCAAATGACATAATATACAATATTTCTATTTCATGTGTGGCTGGAGCACTGTCTGTATGCTGTATGCAGCAAATGCTGTTCAAACGGGTTGCGCTGTGTTTTGACTATGATTTTCAGACTCAGGCGCGGATCGAGTTGGGGGGGGGGCATGGGGGTCATGATCCCCCCCAGGCGAATTTAGTTCGACCACCAATTTTTAAAGTTCCAAATCTCTTAGATAGTTGTTGTCATGTTTGCCGTGATTAATATTTCATTGAATACAAACTTGGTGAACAATACTAAAATACGTTAAATAACGTGCTTTACTACAGGATAATCTATACTGGGCACTATTATATATTTATCGCTATTTGCAAATTAATGACGGCAACTGAGAATAAAAAAATTAGAAACAAGTAACCAAAACAAGCTCATGGAAAGTGCAATTATATGCACAATAGTGCTGCTGCGTACTGTTACCTCTGTTTTTTTTACTATATGTCTATATAACCTGAATCAAGTAGAGACTGTGGGATCAAACATGTTTTATTCAATACAAAATAACAGAATTATTCTAATTTGAATCCGCGTCTTGCTTTTCGTTCAGCAAAAACTTCCATCGCAGAATCCAAATTGATTGTTTAGCTACTGATCTTTCGATATAGAGGATAGAGAAGATGTTGAGTCTTTAGCCAAAGAAGCTCGACGGTATTCTTTAATAATTTTCAAAGAGCTCATGACACCTTCAGCACTAGCTGAACCGATAGTCAAAAAGAATCTGAATAAACTGCAGCTCTCTGGAAAATTGTCTACAAAATTTTTTGCAATGATGAACTTCAAATAATCTAGAGGGCTGCCATAGGTAAAATTACGATTTTCCGAAAAATACATGCTCGTTGAACTGGATAATTCATATTTTATATCTGTAGTAAAAAATTCCGAATATTTTTCCATCAAATTAGTGACGCTGGTTTATAATTCTTTTTCTTTTTTCTTTGGCATCAAAAAACCAAACACATCATTCACTTCACGAAATCCTTCAGTACGTTTTTACAATTCGTTACTCATTGAATACTAAACTTCGTAGCAATTTATTCGATGTTTTTCGTGTGTTTCCAGTGACGAGTCAGCAGCTTTTTAGTGGTTAATTTTTTTGATTTTCCTCTTTCTAACAATGGGAAAACCAGGATTTTCCCATTACATCTCTTCCTATTTATTCTTAGCCTTCGCAACAAAATTATCGTATGTGCTTTCACTCAAATCTTTTAATTATTTTAATATCTTCGGCAGAAACTCACACTCTTGACATTTCATCTTCTATACAATTGATAATACATTCAAAAAAGATAATAGATATGTCATCAAATAAAAAAATGGGGGGCCCAGGCGACATTTTGCCATTACTTAACCCCCCCCCCCTCGAAGACGAGAAGAACATCTTCCTGAACATGAAGTTTTTTGACCAGTGTGACACAAATCCTGGATCCGCCGTTGTTGAGACTGCTCGACCACCATCTTTTAAATTAACAAAATCACTTTAAAAATCGTATAATGGTAAAATTAGATGATTCATTAGAGACTCGAGTCTGGGGAATGCGATATTAAGCACTCTGTAGTGAGCATGGTATACATGGTAAACTGAATTTACAATTAATATTTAAAACCTATTTTTGTGGCAAAATTAACACATTTTGATAGCTTGATCGCACAGTAAACATACTGAATGGAACACCTACATTTTTTCGTACTAAAAACTAAAAACAGATTACAGGGTACATGGCAGTTGATTCGTGAGTTTCTAAAAAAAAAAAAAATAAAAATGTTGACTGCCCCAGTATTTTCCATTTTGACGAAAATATTTGACACTTTAAACATATTCTTTCACTTCACCACTTCACCCTAAAGTTATCAGAAAGTTAAAAACTGCCGCGAAAAATGAAACTGAAGATTTTTAAAAAAATGATTGCCCAGGTAGTTGCGTCGTAAAACGAAACTGGTATTTATTAGTCTGGATAATCGTGAATCCGCATTTTCTATTCTATTATCGTGTTTTCCGTTTGACGACATGTTAGGAACTG